GAGAGAGAGAGAGAGAGAGAGAGAGAGAGAGAGAGAGAATCGGTTGCCTCCTATACTCACTCCAACCCGGAATCAAACCTGCAACATTTTGGTATGCATGGGATGACACCTCAACCACCTGAACCACCCAGCCAGGGCCTTCCTCCCACTCCTCTTAATCCTGTGAGGTGTGGTCCAGTGAGGGCCACAGACTGAGATGCCCCCTCTGGCTTCGCTGTTATCCTCCCCTAACACTCTAATGTGCCAGGAAGGACGCTTATTTATTTATTTACTTAGAATTGGTACCCTCCTCATTTCCCAAAAGGACTTGAGCTAGATACATTGTTTATGCCCCCCAGAAGGTTTTTAAAAGGCTGGCTAATTTTGATATGTTGGGGCAGACAGAGAGAAATGCGGCAAGTTAGAAATATGTAGGTGAGCTCTACTTTCTTACTTCAGGTTCTGCAAGTGTCAGAAATATTTATTACCGAAATATTTTTCAGTTTCATGCCTTCCCTCCATCTCTTTCCTGAGTCCTCTCCATCCCTTGTTCCAGTAATGGAAGGCTAATGGACACCTCCTTCCCACCCCTAAGGCCACAGTTTAAGAATTTGCAATGTGCGTGCAGACTGGGGGCAGAGAGGGCACTGGGGAGTGGCCATTTCCCCCAGTAGCCAGTGCGCCAGGAGAAGGGAGAAAGAAAGAAGTGCAGATGAGAAGAGAGCACGAGGCCCCAGAGAGAACCTGCACTCAGCTTGATGGTCTTTGATGTCTGGTCCTAGCTCTTCCTGGGGCTGCCTCCGTAAGGGTCGTGAAACACCCGTGTGCTTCCCGTAAATGCCTCTTTCCATCTAAACCAGCTTGAGTGCATCTCGGTTACTTCCAACGGAAAGATCTCTGATGAACACATTAATCAAGTAGAGGAAATGGGGTGGGGCTAAAGGAAAAGGGCCCACACGAGTGCTCACGGGGTAGCAGAAAGAAATTGTTTGATTATTCAGATAAAGCATGCAAGTGCCCTAAGGAAAGGCACAAGAAGCTATAGAGGAACAAATGGCTTCCCTATTAATGGAGCTCATTTCATGTATGTTTTAGTGTTATTTATTTTAAGAAAAAAGTTCCCTGTGAAAGGGGAGGGGAGCCTATTGTATACTTGTATATGTATATATGTATCCATGTAAGTATAGGACATCTTGCCCATGATACTATGCCGATATAAGTGAATGGTAAGGGCTGGGAAACACTGATCTAGAATAGTTACCATAGCAACACTGCTTTTATACATTTTTCATGGCGGGAACCTTGACCAAGATTAACATTGTTAATGACACTGGAGGGGGTATTATCACTTCCTGGGAAACAGTAATGGATCACTTTTGACTACATAAGATTTGAAATATTCATAATGATGAACAAATATCAACAAATAAATCTCTTTGATCAAGCTGTGTCTTCATTTTAATCTTTAAATGCCAACATGATTTATTTTATATTTGGTCATTTTTCTCCCTCTATAATTACTTAGTGGCTAAACCAAAGGCACATTTAATTTGGTGTTTCTTACAGAAATAGTAGTAAAGAGAAAAAAGGTCCAATATTTGGAGAAACAATAGGTTTAGAATAAGTAAATAGACTTTATTTTCTTAGACTCCCAGTGATTATTTTGCGCTTCCTTGGTTTTGCTTTATCTTTGTTAATACTATAATTAAAAACACATTTGGGTA